AATCCCAGGATCCTGAGATCATGACCTGAGCAGAAACCAAGAGTTGCACGGTTGGAGGCTTAACCGATTGAGCCACCCAGGCACCCCTCCTTAGTTTTCTATAACCTTCAAAGCTGTGCCCTGACTCCGGCCTTTGGGTGTGGCCTTGGTGGGCTGTGTCCCTGGCATCAGCAAAGGCCTTGACACAGTGTGGACTTCGGAGAGCAGCTTGGATGAAACCCCAGAGGCCTGGAACTGTGGAAAAGTGGGTTAGCCTGGCTTACATAAGGACTATTTGGTACCATTTTAGTTTCTGTTCCAATGTGGGAACAAACTTGCTCCTTAAAACCCTTCAGATCACAGGAGTGCTGTTGACTTATGTTTATGTCAAAGCCAAAGCCTCAGGCTAATTTGGGAACTGACAGGATTCTGCTAATTCCTTATATAAATATGGGATCTGCATCCTGGCCTTCCAGGCCAGGGTCTTGGGTAGGACAACTGGAGCCTCCATTTGTCTCTGAATTTTCTGGAACCAAATTGCTTTTTTCTCTCATTTCAAGGTCCTAGGAGAGAGAACCAACAGCAAAGGCCATGTCTGGAAGCAATTTGGGTGGGGGAAGGGGTGTCTTGAGGCCTGCCCAGATCTTTTCTCTTTGTTCAGCCTAGGGAATGGAGCCACGGCTGCCCACTCCGGGCTCTTTTGTGTAATTGCCCCCAGAAATCTGACTTCTAGAAAAACAGTAAGCTTGCAATGCATTCCAGATCTAAAAAGATAATGATCAGAATCTGAAATGACTATTTTTCATTAAGGAAGTATTTCAAGAGGGACTGCAGTACCCAAAGAGCTGACTGCTTGCCCCTGAGCCCCTGATGAGGAGTGAGAAGGAATTAAGACCCCTGGGATTGTGTATGTGACCAGAAGTCACATCAGATTCTGCCACGACCCGCAAGTGTAGCTGATATTCTTCCTACAGCTCCTGCTATTCTCAGGAGGAACTGAGGTCCAGACTCCGGGCCCTTTGTCCAGCCCTGCCACCACCCACAATACAAAGCTACACTGAGCCAGCAACCAGCAAGCGCCCCAGAGCAACCTTGATAATGAGCAGATGGGGCCATGCTTGCTGCTACAGTATCAGCACCCCATTCGGACTTTCACATGAGAAATAAACTTCCACTTTGTTCCAATGGCTGCTGTTTTGTCTCCGTGGCTAAATCAAAAGTTCTAGTATCATATATTTTAAAGTTGCAAAGAGAGTGGATTTTAAATATTCTTATCACAAGAAAAAATTTTGTCACTGTGAGGTAGTGATGTTAACTAAACTTACTGTGGTAATCATTGTGCAACATATACATGTATCAAATCATTATGTTGGACACCTTAAACTTATAGTGTTATAACTGATGTGTCAATTGATATGTCAATTATATCTTAATAAAACTGAGGGAGTGGTGGCCGGC